AACCTGGCCTGCTTCTTGTCCTTTCATGAACAAGTATTGCATTAGTAAAAATAAATCACTGAAAGGGCTTGGCCACAGAGGGGACCACACTCGTGTCCCCGTTGCAGCTACGCGGACGGATTAGCGATCACTGACGTAGAGGCCAGTGGCAGGAAGGACATGAGAGGTGACCATGTACGGGGTAGGCGCTGATCACACGGGATCTTGTTCAAACAGACTCGACTCCAGTGGTCTGGGCTGGGGCTGAGTCGTGCATTTCGCGCGTGCTGGGCCCTGACCACACGTGAGGGCAAGTCTCGCCAGACGGAGGGCGAGGGCTTTCTCCCCACCTGGAGAGCCTGAGCCTGGGGCGCTGCCCTGGGGCAAACTCGGGAGGTGTGGCCAAGCCCTGAGACACGGAGCCAGGTACAGGCTGCGCTGTGCTGTTCTCGGGGCAGACACAGGCGCAGTCCTGGGCCTTGGTGTAGGGAGACAGCCTGTGCCGGTCCGTGCGCACAGCTGCTGCATTCTAAGTTGCTCGTGAAAACCGTTGGTGACGTGGTCACCCATGGTGTGTTGTGGACCCGTCCGCTTGACAATCATGCCGGGCACATAACTGTGCATGTGCGTCCAGTCTAGAGAGAGGGACTGCAGCAGAGCCGTGCCCCTGGGGCGGTCTTACTTCCCACCTCTGTCCTGTCTTTGGTGAGGACAAGCGCCCTATGGTAAAAAGGAGAAAAGCGAACTGGTAGCTGGGGCCAGCAGGGGGCGCGGCTGGGGGTTAAGGTGGCGGGACCAGCAGGTGGCATGGTGGTTAAGGCGCTGGACACTCCCACGTGGCCAATCACAGTTCAAGTCCCGGGCCTGGTGGTTTGCTTTCTCACTTGCTCTCTCTTCCTCTCTCTCTCTCTCTCTCTGGTCAAATTAAAATGAATAAATGAATGAATGAGTGAATACAATAAATAATTCGAAAAACAGAGAGAAACACATTGTGTGTGTGTGTGTGTGTGTGTGTGTGTGCACCCAAAATTCCAAGAGGAAAATGGAGGAGAAGGGACTGCAGCGTGGCCATTGCCCCGGGGGGGTGATTCCTGCTTTCTGTCTCTCTGGGGTCCCTCTACAGCCGGGTGACATGCCCTATAGCTAAACACATGTTGCTAGCATCAAACTAACACCATGCAAATTCACAAATACCGCGTGTGTATACGTGTGTAGGGGAGAGCGAGTGCGTGCGCGTGTGTGGGGGAGAGAGTGTGTGTGGAAGGGCATGTGTGTG